ATAAATAATCATTTAATTTTGATTTTAATATTTTCCACAGTCTTTGATAGATTCCCTTTCTGTCAGTTCTTTAACTTTTCTGTGCACAATGTTATCTGCTTTTAATATCCCAATGTATTTATAATTTTCATCACTTGATAGTGACTTTATAATATTGGCATTTTAAAACTCTATTCCATCTAGTTTTTGGATCTAGCCATGCTGTATAGACAGAGCTGCCCATTTATCAACTCCAAATTTCATTTGGATATCTTCACTAAATATTGACACTGTATTTAGCACGGATTCTGTCTCTATTCTATGATGATGATTCCAAGGGGGACTGGTTTTTAACAATCGCCAAAACATATCCAAAATGTGGGCGATGCTTTCAGCAGAAGCTGGACATCTAGAGGAAGTTAGAAGTATTTTATGAAAATCTGAAATATTTGTGAAGTTGTTTATTGAGCTGCTGCCCGAGGAGCTTCATGCTTTAGGGATTGTTGGGATCACAAACTCAAGATGGTTAATCATCATAATAGTGCCACAACAAAAAGAAACAAGTAGCACAGCCATCTGGTCCACCAAGCAAAATCCAAACATATGAGAAAACTTTAATGCCAAATATGCCCTGCAATTGAAGGTGACGCTGTTTTCCAATGGGGACATGAAGCTTTGTGTGAGCACAAATAGCCTCATCCTTTCCATTTTAAGATGCAACTTGACACTGATGGAATGCACTATTGTACGCATGGCATTTTCACAATAAAAATCGGAAATTTACAATGACCATTTCACTTCACAGTGAATGTTCTCTGTGTGGTAAGACCACTAGGGTTGATATATAAAACAAAGGTTCCATTCCTTTATTGACCCATCACAATAATGTTTTCAAAATATAGTGCCTCCTTTGATAGTGGGGCTTTAACATATGAATGTCCAAATGCCAAAAGTCTCCTTTTTGTAAAACCAATAAAAGTAGAACAGCCGAGCGCCAAATTGAATCTAGCAGCTCTATTAGCACTAAGTCCCCCATTTCTTTCAATTTTTTTCTTAACTTTCACTTTATTTTCAGGCTAGATTTCTCCCTGGTGAACTCACCTAAATTTATTCTTTGAGGATCATTATTTTCTATCTGGCATTTGTTAGATGTCCTGTCCTTCCTTAGACAGAATCCACAGCAAATAAGACAAAATAGTGGATGTGATTAGTCTCCAGAGAGTCTGTGTTCACCACTTATCTGTAGCTAAATAATAAACCTTTCTCTCAGTGGAAAAAATATTTTAGGCATGAAGAGCTGTGTTGTTATGAGAGCCAAAATGTCTTGAAAATACCAACAAATGGTGAAAGAAGACAAAGCTTGTGTACATTTAACCCCTTGTTAATCCTTTCTGAAGGAAGTCATGAAGACTGACATTCTAAATCTGACTTAAAGGAATAATGCTTTAAAAAGATGATGGCTTAGTAACAGGAATAGAGATGGGCACAAAATGAACCACAAAGCAAAAAACCCATGAGTTGGACCGTTGTGTAGTTTATTTTGGGGTGTTTCAAGGAAATGTGCCTATCCAAAATGAAATGAAACAAATCATCAAACTGTTATTACGGATGGGAATTTGTACCTTTCATGATTCATGCAATTTGGGAATTTCAGGAGTGGTGGAATGGTCCCCACATAAGTCAAAGATGCCGAACTTGCAGCAAGTCTTCAGCTGACTCTCCTTCCCACAGATAAATTCAGTGAAGATTGAATTTGGAACATCTGAGTTACAGCCTCCCAAACAAAACCTGGAAGGAGTGGGAAGGAGAGTCAGTTGAAGACTCGCTGTGAGTTTGGCATCTCTAACTTGCATGGGGGCCGTTCTACTGCTCCTGGAATTCCTGCATTGTATGAATCGTGAAATGGTTTGTTTTGTTGGAAAGTTCAAGGTTTGAACCACGAACGACCACACACCACATTTTTCCCAGTTTGTGCCCATCTCTAAACACGAATAATGAAAAAACAACCAATCAACTATTTGTTTTATAGACAGCATCTGATTAGGAAGTATATTCTCTCCCACAAACATCTGAAGCTGCAGTTCTGCCCAGTTGTTTGTTTGTTCAGTATACCCGATCAGTGCATATTTTGTGCACATTTTTCCCAAATATGTCCTTTTATTGTGTGTAGGCATCCTTCAGTCTTGAAAGACTATAGTAACGTGCTCTGAATACAGGTCTTGGAAGAGTGTCTAGTGTGGCTGAGAAGGCCAATTTGAGAGTGACAATCCCTTCCACACTGAAGACAAATACAATCTGTCCCTTGTCCACCTGATTTTGTTGGTTTCGGGACTGCCTCTTTGCCTCAGCCTGCTGGACAAGTATCTCTTTAAATTGGGAGAGGCCATGATGCACCACCTGCATCCAGGCTGAATGCTCAGAGGTCAGGGTTTCCCATCTGTTGAGGTCCATTCCTAAGGCCTTCAGATCCCACTTGCAGATATCCTTGTATCGCAGCTGTGGGGTGCTTTCCCTGAATTAATTCTCCATACCGGAGATCCCTTAAAGCAGGCTAATGGAATCCAGGCTGCCCTTTGCAAAGATGGCAGCTTCAGCTTCCCTACCCTAAATGAAGCCACAGCTGCCATCTTTGCAAACGGCAGCTAGTTTCCCTTTCTACAAGCCATGGCTGCGGAGGCCTGTTGGAGACCTTGGCAGCAGCGGTGATAATTATGGTAAGGGGGTGTTAGCGGGGGTGTCAGGAGGTGGGTGGTAGGGTGGAGGTGGGTGGCAGCAGTGCTGCAGTGGGGGTGGTAGCGGGGGGTATGGTGTGGTGGTAGCAGCAGGGGGTGGGAAGGTGTGTGCATTTTTTTAGCAACCCCCCATGAATCGACAAATAAATTTGTTATTTGTCGGTGCATGGGGGCAACTTCGTGCTTTTTGAGTTGTCAACTGGTAAAACGCTTCCATAGATAACTCATTGATAGCTCTGTTAGGACTGCTGTAAGTCTGACTTGATGGCACATAATAGACAACAGTCAAAACAGTACCTCTTGCTAACACTACCCACAAGATTCTTATCCCCATGAAGAGCTGTAAACAGAGGGAAAAACTGTCTCATATGCTATACTGTTACATTGAGAGAAGAACCGTGAAACCAGGAAACCATTGTTCTCCTTCCTGTTTTCATATATACTTTGTGGTGGAGAAAGATTCTGGGAGTTTTAATCCAAGAACATCTGTGAACCCAAAGTTGAGAATCGCTGTAATAAAGTAAATATGAAAATAGGAAGGAGATCCAAGGTTGGCAACCATTCCTCAATTAAATACGATGGAAAGGAAGAGCAGAATACTCATTCTACTGAGAGAAATCAGAATTTTCAGAGAGAAAATTCAAAAGAGAGAGAGAAAATCGGAAAGGGGAAAAAGAATAACAAAGAAACTGAGTTTAAAACTATCAAAGGGAAATGTTAAAAAAACTAGGAATATTTGTGCTCTTGTTCTTCTCTTGCCCCCCTCCCCCCCTGTTATCCTCTCAAACATAGCCCCTCTCTGCTAGATGCTTACAGATACAGACAGGAAGTTCAGTTCAGTTTGAATTTGCACCTACAGGAGATGATGTTGCCATATCTATTCTTATTGCGGTTTTCGTCTTCCTTGGCTGTGTCCCAAGATGCTGTCTGCCCCTCGGGTAGAGCCTGCAAAATAAACAACAGCAGAGTGTTTATGAAATAGCCAATGCCTTGAGGTGTTTTAACATAACAAAGTGGGGGTAGGAAAATGCAGCATATAATTTAGCACTCAGCCAAGCCAACTGTTTTTCTCAAGGAAAGGGCACATTTAATAATACAGTGATGAAGAGACCATTAGCATCCTATGGCTTGTGTTGGCTTACAATTGTTTTCCCAATGCAACTGGAACAAAAACAAGTGGGAAGGATTTTGCTTCTGGCTTTGTAATCATTAGGTTTTGTTTTAAATTAATGTACCATCTCTAACATGGGGGATGCAGATCGTTTCTCTTGTGCCTGTGAAAAATACCAGCATGCAAGTGAAATGTTTAAATTATAGATGGAGATGGTGTTTCTGTAATAAAAATTAAGAAGTAAAGGTATGTCAAACTCTTGAGTTCTATAAATCCCGCCTCTACTACATCTATGTACATAACAAAGATGCATACACACTCACACCCTACTCCTGTGACAATTTTAGGTGCCAATTTTGATACATTAGTTCAGCTCAAGGCCTTTCTAATTAAAGAAGAGCTACTACATTTGTTCCACTACAGCCTTTAATTTCATCCAAGAACAGACATGAATGTACAATCCTTGCACCAACCCTATAGGACAAGGACACAGAGTTGTTTTCCTAGCAGTTGCCCTACTAGAGCAGAACTTGCATTACTCAACTGTTGCTAAAATCTGAACCAAAAGTGATTGTTGCTATTTATTTATTTATTTACATTTCTGTCCTGCCTTTCTCCCACTAAACCTTCTAATCTCAGTTGCTTGCTGAGTCCCAAAAAGGCTCAGCTAAAGAGGCAGACATTCAATTGCTGATAAAAGGAAGGGAGCCAAATTTAGCAAGAGAGTGAGTTCCATAATCTGGGAGCAAAAAAACAACCTTTTTCGAATCCTCAACAAGCTTGTTTGTGAAAGCAGTGGGAGTGAAAGAAGAGGCTGTCTTGCTATTTTGCTTAGACATGGAGATATGGTCTTTAAGATAGCATAGACCCAAGCCATAAAAGTCATTAAAGGCCATGACCAGCAGTTTGAATAGAGCCTAGAAACAAACCGGCAGCCAGTGAAATACTTGTACACGGGGGAGGGAGTGTCACACAATCTCAGTAACTATCCCTAATCAACAGGTTTGTTTTATTAAAGTATGAGATTAAATGCAAGTTTAATTTTAGAAGTGTAAGATCAAATGCCTGTGTTGTTGGGCAGGGGAAAAGATATTTTGAATTAATATAGAATTTCAGTGGGTAGGTGAATCACTGAACATGGAAGCTTCTAGGAATGTCAGCTCACTTCCCTTTTCCCCCCAGGGGACTGCCTGACTGCCTGACTGCCTGACTGCCTGACTGATTGATTGATTGATTGATTGATTGATTGATTGATTTAGAATAGGCAAAAAAAGATCTTGAATGGCTATATCACTCTGTGATAAAACAGACTAGAAAGTGATGTTGGTAATGGTAAACTGTATTAAGACCAATCAAGATGAAGCTCACTTTGGAAAACAAGCAGCATCTTCCCTGTCCAATTTTCACATCCACACATAGTGACAGGGAATATCATAATTAATACTTGGCTGGGAGACTACCAGAGAATTTCAGGTACTACACTGGGGAAAGACTTGCAGCAAATCACATGCTTTGCATGCAGACAGTCAATCATCAGCATCTCTAGATAAGGCTAAGAAAGAATCCCACCTGAACCCCTGGAAAGTCACTCTCACTCAGGAGTTGTCATTACTGGGCTAGATGGACCATTGAGATGATTCGTTATAAGACAGCATCTTGTTATGTTATGAAGTTGCCCTGAGTTCTTGCACTTGGGAATCTATTGCCATATTTTGAGTACCAACCACTATATAGATGAAAATAGAAAAAGAGAGTGGTCATATCCCTCTCATGAAGCTGGCTCTGTCAGAATACTGAATGGCAGCATTAAAGTTGGCACAGGTTTAGGATTCCTAGAATAGAGCCTTATCCTGTAATCACAAATTATGCTCAATTTTCACTCATCATTAGGAAGCCACTTTTCCTACTGCTAGAACTAATAGGCAATTTGCTAAAAGCCACAAGTGCTAATGCACTTGCTTTTTTCTTGCAGTGCTAGCTATTTCACTTGTGATGCGAGTGAAATATGCTAATGTGAGATTATAATTTCATTGCTTAAAAGGGCTCCTCGAGACATAATGTACTACAGATCCTGTTCTGGATAAGGAGAGATCTAGCTCAAATCAGCAAATGGGGAGATCTTTGATCATACATCCATTTCCTTGTACAAGGTAAATGCCACCTAACAGGATCTAATGTCCTGCATGAGTGTGGGAGACAACAGAAAAAAGTAGATGAAGGAAACTATTTTTTTCATCAAAGAGAGGAATAGATGTGTTGTTTGTACAGCAACTTGAATTCTCATTATCTGCAATTGATGCAACTCCCCATCACATTATATACCTACTTCTCCAAATATCTGTTTAGTTTGTTATCGGATATACATTGCTCTCACTTTAAAGCTTCTCATCAAAGCAGTGGGATTTTGCTTCCAATTAAAACAACAACAACCCTGGGATTCTGTTTTTAAAAGTCATGGATATAACACAGACATGTCAGGAGATAACTGGTAACAACAACTCACAAATTTTCTGCCCATTAAAATTATAAAGATGGTTGTTTGCATAATCAGATCTCAGTCTCCGTATCCCTAGTATAAAATTTTGCTGTGAATTAATTTCTATAACTGTATGGGAAAGGTGAGAGCTGGGTGGATAGCTGAGGTTTAAGTATCTGGCTACAGAGCCAGAGGTTGGATGTTTGATTCTCCACTGTGCCTCCAGGGAAAAAGAGCCAGCCTGGGTGGCCTTGGGCAAACTGCACTATCCCAGGGTGCCCCCTGAGGAAGGGAATGAATGAATGAATGTTTATTCTACTGCCAAAGGTGCGATAAAGGAAGGGAATGGTAAACCACGTGTACTCCCTACTTAGGAAACCCTGGAAAGAGTCACCATAAGTCAGTATTAACATGACAGCACATAATTATTATGGGAAAGATGCAGTAAAGCAATGCTGTGAAGTATACTGTTTTTCTCCCTAGGAAACCCTGGAAAGAGTCACCATAAGTTGGTATTAACATGACAGCACATAATTATTACAGGAAAAGTGCAGTAAAGCAATGCTATAAAGTATACTGTTTTTCTCCTTAACTTTCCTCATAGTACAATTGGCATTTGGAATATTTTGAGGCAAAGGTACTTAGGGTGCAATTCTAAGGAGCCAAGGTGAGTGACTGAAGGCCAGTGGAACTGACACTGGACCGCTGACGGTTGTGCTGAATCCAAACCCTTTCCAGTTTAAGGGTTTGGGGAATGATGATGTGGATAATTCTGAAATGGAATCTAATGTGTTAGTTATAACATCGGAATATTTAAAGAAAAGGACAGAAATACATTTCACAGTTTGGCAGTTGTTATATGACCAGTGACCTCATTTACACCATGAATTTATGAGAAAAGTGGAATATGAAAATTATATTCAGGCACTGATTTAAACAACATTAACAGCTATGTACAACATTCCTGACCATGAGTGGTTCACTGGCTGAAGCCTAGAAGAAAGGTGTTTTTGCTGTTCTCAACTTTAAATATATTTGCATTTTTTTCTGAGATGAAGTACAATTTTGCAGTAATACTATAAAACATTTTTGTTATTATCTTTCTATATAGATCCTACAATTCCCAATCCTATCCATTTGTATTTCACTGTAAGCACAACTGATCTGAAAGAAATAAACGAGTATAATTATAAGAATTCTGAGTTATATTTTATGTTGGTTGTTGTAGGTTTCTTCAGGCTGTTTGGACGTGTTCTAGGTTTTTTTTTCTTCCTAATATTTTGCCAGTCTGTGTGGCTGGCATCTTCAGAGGACAGGAGTTAGAACTCTGTCTGTGTTCTGTTCTACTCCTGTCCTCTGAAGATGCCGGCCACAGAGACTGGTGAAATGTTTGGAAGAAAAACCTCCAGAGATGGCCAAGCAGGCAGAAAAACCTAAAACAACCATTGGATCCCGGCCATGAAAGCCTTCAAGAATATATACTGTATGTTAATTGGTATCAATGGTCATTGTGAAAAATAGGTTTAGCCACTAAGCATAAGCAATGAAGATCTCAAGAAGCTTTCAAGCTTTCAAGAATCTCTGTTCCTCATCCTTTCTGAGGCCAAAACTACACATGAACTAAATGTATGTCTTAAGCACATCAACATTATTTTGAAGCAGGTGAAGGGGAATCTGATAGGAAACATGGTGTGCAGGGAAAGGAGATGTATCTGTCTTTCCTCAGCTACATCCTGGAGTAGATTGCCTCCTATTGTCATAATCCTCCTCCCCAAGCAAAAGAAAAAATAATCCCCAAAACTCTTCATATTGTTGTCAATAGGAGTTTTAAAGGGTTATTAGCATAGGGGGAGACAACTCTGTAGCAATCATAGGATAGACAAGGTAAGAATTTAACTTCCCTTCCCAACACACTGTGGCTATAACGGCCATTGTATATGCATTTATCTACAGTATTTTCATAGATGACTAGAATGGGTGGATTGCTCACCCCAAGACAGCAGGTTGAGATACTCCCATGTTCATACCATGAGTCACCCCAGCTCTTTTTAAAAAAGAAATCTGATATGCTTCTCATTGACCACCCATTCCCAAAATAAAGAGATGGACACAGGTATTGGATTTAACAAGGGCCACTTTATTAACTATACATTTCCCACCCTGAATTTCCAGAGGGGCCTGAACATAGTGCAGATACCTAGGGAAGGCTCCAGGGGTATCTCCTACCTCTTTCCTAACCCCTAACAGGCAATTCCCATGGCCCTGATCTGAGCAGTCCCCGGACAGCTTGTACCAGACTAGCTATTATTGGGGGTCCCTCGCCAGCCACCAACTGTCCATTTCTCCTTACTATGGACA